TTCGCAGTGGGAGTCCGCGTCAGATTTCAGGTGGGGCCTCGTCGTTTTTATGATGGCCCCCGTCAGGCCAACCCGAGTCCTCCGTACCCGAGTCTTACGTCTCCCCGAATCAGAACCCCGCCGGGCTGCCGCCCTCTGACCTCTGCGCCTGCATAAATAAGACGCGAACGACGAACACATACTCCAGATTTCGTAATAAAGGGAGGGGGGTCTCGTTTCGGGGGGGGGTCTCTTCCAGGCTATCTTGGAGGGCCTGGGGGGTCTGGGGACGATGTTTTGGAGGGTTCTCCCACGGGGGAGGTCTGAAATGACCTGCCTTGGAGGGTCCAGACCCCCTCCCTTTTATTACGAAATCTGGAGTACTAGAGAACATGCAATTTCACCCCGATGCGCTGCAGAGTTTCAACGGCCCACGCGCAGGTCCGTCGAGGTAGGATCGAGGGCCACTCTCCCCTCCTCGGAAGTGCCGGCGGCCCTGCCGACGCCGCTGCACCCCTAATTAGGGCGGCCGGTCGTCGGCGCACGAATTCCTGCCGCGCTTCTGGGAGACAGTCCAGTACACCCTAGGCGATGCTTAAGAAAACTTACGTTTTTGGCCAGAGTCTCGATTGTTCTTAATGTTTCGATGTAAATCCTAAGATTTCAATCGAAATTCTGGGTTTTGATTCAAATTCTGAGACTCTGAGTTTCTTAACCCATGATTTCTTAAGCATTTCGCAGAGTGTAGGCCCACAGCCCACAGCTGGAAAGCAAGCGACGCCTGTAGCACACGCACACGCATCAGCGGCGACGTGTTCCAGCGGAGACATGCTCTGTAGCGTCATTGGCTCTCTCGCACGGGGGGGCCGTAAAGGAACGCTGCTGCTCGGCAGGATAACGTTGTTCACTCTGACGTTGCAGTCGGCTTGCGCGTCCTGTCAGCGTCGTGGTTGTTGCTTGGCGTCGGTAACAAGGTGCAAAGCAGACCCAGAAGGATGATCTTGCTGCTCAGGACAGTCTTATTCAATTCGGCCACGGCATCATACGAAGAGATTCTCCCTGCCGGCGATCACGCACGACGGCAGCGGTCCGTCCGCAAGATCACGCTGTCTGCAACCAGCGCCGCGTGCTGCCTGGCGCGCAACTTTCCGCACGTGCATACAGTGCAAACCCATGCCAAGACACACCCTGCTTGCCTCCAGGGTGTCCTTGGTTTCTTGAGTTTCGGTTTTGCTATGGAAAGCGTGACGTTCCCACACCAAGCATCAATGGAAACTCAATGGACGTCCTGGGATCCCAGAGTTGGGTTTCTCGTGGAAGGTTTCTTGTGGACTAGCCTCCACTGTACGGAGGCTCGGTGCCCAGCTGCACTGCGATTGGGCTGGCGACGCCGCGGCGCCTGGTGCCGCAGCGCGAGGCGAGAGGAGATGTTCGCATCGGGAGTTCCTGCGGTGCTGGCTTGGGACTTCGAGCCAGACTGGCTCCAGCCAAGCTGGTGACCCTGCGCGACAAGGAAGGGGAGGAGGCGCGGCCTAGGGGGCCAGGCCAGGAGGAGGGAGGAGTTGGAGATGGGAGGAGCACGGGGCGAGGTTTAGGTGGACGAGGACGAGGTTGAGGGGGTGAAGCATGACGAGGCGAAGGGAAAGTTGGACTGTCGCGGGCGCACCTTAGCTGGGGAGCTCTTGGAGCCGAATCCCCCCCCCCACCGCAGCGCTCGGAGCGGTCACCCAAGAGGGAGGCGGAAGTGAAGGCGGAAGACTCACCCGTTGTGCTGAGGCAAGGGGAGGAGGGAGGATCATGAGGCGGAAGTAGGGAGGAGGAGGCGGAAGGAGGGAGAGGGGAGCACGAGCGAGAGTTGCAGAAGGAGAGGGAGGCGCACGGAGGGAGGAGAGCACGAAGGGACGAGGGCGAGGACGAAGAAGGAGGGAGGACCGAGGAGGAGAAGGGCGGACCAGCGATGCACCAGCGCTGCGGCAGAGCACCCGTCCCGCCCCCCAAGAGTCTCCCCTCCTGGTCCTCGGGGGGCGCTGCCGAGGTGGGTGACACCTTGTTGTTCTGCAAGAAGTGCTGCCAGTACGCTTCCACGAAACCACTGGGCCTCGGCAAGGTTTGTCCCAGTGTTGGGATCTCTGGGTGGAAGCGCAATGAGGCAGCACAGCACAAGTTGCGCAATGGGAACGAGGATAGGATTATTGCTCATTGGCCCCTTTTGGGGACAGCTGCACGGAGCTGGCAAGGCTCCAGTTTCTCCCCGCTAGGTTTCGGGCCCGTTTCAAGCTGGCCCCAGTGGCCAGACCTTTGCTGGGTGGAGGAAACCTCTGCTCTGCGCGGGGCGCCTCCCCCCTGGAACGACGGGGGCCCCGCGGGCCTGCAGCTCGAGGGGGAGCCCTGGTTTCGAGAGCAGTTGGCCTTCCGCCCCTCGAGCTACAATTCTGTCGGGCGTGTCACCTACAGGGGAATGCTCGACGACAGAAAATACTCCAGACATACCCCCAAAAGGGCCAACCAATACCCAACAAATAGTCCCCAGACTATGTTTGGACTATGGTTTGATTATGTTTGGGGTACTGCTTATTTTTCGTCGAAGCTCTCCCTGTAAGGGGACAGGCCCGACTTAAAGCTACAAGGAACGGGGCCAAAGCTCAGGGATCCTGAAGTGCCGTGGGGACCCATGCCAAGGCACGCCCTGCTTGCCTCCAGGGTGCCCTGGGGGATCCTTGCGTTGGGGGGGTTTTGCGATGGAGAGCTCGGCGCTCCCACGCCGAGAACAAGTGGTCGTCCTGGGGTGTCAGGGTTGGGTGTTTGCTGGGGAAGGTTTCTTGTGGTCGGGCCCCCACTGTGGTGCTCAGCGAAAGCCCCAGCTGTGAAAAGGAACCGCCCTCCATCAGTGCAGCCGTCGTGCAGATCACAGCAACAAAGTCTGAAGCAAGAGCCCCCATTTGAGAAGGAGCCATCTTCGCATCGTTCGGACGTTTGTTGTTTCCCAACCCTTCTGAGTGTTGGGTCCTCGTTTCGAATTCGCAGCGACGCGCGTCTCCTTCCTTCCTTCCTTCCTTCCTCTTCACCCTCCTCTCTCCTCTCCTCGTCCTCTTCACTCCTCCTTCCACGTCCTCCTCATCCTCTTCTCCCCTCTTCCTGTCACCATCACCACCATCATCATCACCATCATCATCAGCAGCAGCATCATCATCATCGTCATCATCCTCACCACCGTCATCACCACCACCATCATCATCACCATCACCATCGCCACCACCATCATCATACTCATCACCGTTTCGGCGCACCCCTCACATGCTTCGTGGCCCCATAGGGAGCTCCAGCGAAGGCTCCTGTGGCTGAGTCCGCATGGTGACTCGGGTCCCTTCTGGCACACGCCTCACACGTTTCGTGGCCCCATAGAGAGCTCCCGCGAAGGGCCCAGTGGCTGCGTCCGCATGGTGACTCGGGTCCCATCAGGCGCACCCCTCACACGCTTCGTGGCCCCATAGGGAGCTCCACCGAAGGAACACAGACACCATGAATCGTCGACCCCCAGGAAAAGATGGCAAAATATAGGAACCGGGGGGGGTGACGATAACCTACGAAATCTTACAACATATTCTTTACGCTTCGCGTATCCCCACCAGCCCATCTCACAGCAGCAACTCTCGCGAAGCATGCCGACAGTCGTGTTTTTCAGGCGTGTGTCCGCTTGGCCCCGCATATCTCCCCTGTTCCTCCTTCCTCCCGCCTCCTTGTACATCCTCCTTGTGAGGGGAGCGGGAGAAGGACGAGGCGGAGGAGGAGGGAGAGAAAGCGCTCCTCGTGATTTGAGTCGTTTGGGGTTTTTCGTCCTGGTGTGAGTCGTTCGGGCCCTTCTTCCTGATGTGAGTCGTTCGGGCTTTTCGTGGTGTGAGTCGTTCGGGCTCTTCGTCCTGGTGTGAGTCGTTCGGGCTTCTCGTGGTGTGAGTTGTTCGGGCCCCTCATCCTGGTGTGAGTCGTTCGGGCCCCTCCTCATGGTGTGACTCGTTCGGGCTCCTCGTGGTGTGAGTCGTTCGGGGCCCGCGTCGTGGTGTGAGTCGTTCGGGCTCCTCGTGGTGTGAGTCGTTCGGGCGTCTCGTCCTGGTGTGAGTCGTCGGGGCCCCTCGTCCTGGTGTGAGTCGTTCGGGTTCCTCGTGGTGTGAGTCGTTCGGGCCTGTCGTCCTGGTGCGAGTCGGTCGTGCTTCTCGTGGGCCTCTTGGGGCCTCTTGGAGCCTAGTGGGGCTCTTGGGGGCCTCTTGGGGGCCTCTTGGGGGCCTCTTGGGGGCCTCTTGGGGCCTAGTGGGGCCTCTTGGCGGGGCCCCTTGTGGGGCCTGTCGGGGGCCTCCTCCCTTGGGGCCTCGTCGGGGCCTCTTGGGGGCCTCTTGAGGGCCTCTTGGGGGCCTCTTGGGGCCGCTTGGGGGCCTCTGGGGGGTCTCTTGGAGGCCTCTTGGGAGCCTCCTGGGGGCCTCTTGGGGCCATCTTGGGGCCTCTTGCGACCTCCTCAGAAGCGCAAATGGGAGCTGCCCCCTGAGAAGGACAAAATGAGCCCAAAACTTTAGTAAAATCAATGATTTTGCTATGAGGGGAGATGAGCGCGGCCCCCTCAGAAGGCCAAAATGGGGCCACAATCATCGTAAAATCAATGTTTTTTGCTTCAAAGACGGTCTGAGGCGCCAAACGGTCCCCCCGCCCTGGGGGCCAGAATCCTCGTGAGGGTCGTCGTTTTTTTGGCCCTCCCAGGAGTCGGAAAAAAAAACCCTTGATTGCACTCGGCCCGCCCTCTCCAGGCCCAGGGGGAGGGGGTAGGGGGAGGGGTAAACCCCTCCCCGAAGGGGAAGAAGAGGGGTAGGGGGTTGAGAACAGAGAGAGCTCTCTAAACCACTCACGCCCAAAGGGCTGGTGGGATTAGGAATCCCGGGGCTGTGTGTATTTATGTGTCTTCGTGGGCCCCTTCAATCGGCTCAACGACGCCCCATTAAAAGATGATCCCCAAGCCTCCCAGTAGCCTGGCGCGCCAGGCCGCGGAAGCCCCCGTGCCGTTCCTGGAGCGCCTCGCCTCCATCCCCGCGGCCGCCGCCACCCGCGCGCCCACGCAGCCAGCCGAGGCGAGCGCCTCCGCGTGCGGCGGTTGGTTCGGTCGCAACTCATGGGGGCCGCGTGTGCCCTCGCAAGTATGTCTTCCTCGTCGATTGGCGTCGGATCGCGCCCGAGAGTGGACAAGCTGGCGCCGTCCCAGCGACGGAGGGCGTCGACTCACGCCGATCCAGCCGTCTGTTTCGCGTCGATCGGCGCCGATTCGCAAGGAGTCGGCGAGATGGTATGGGAGGCTCCCGTGCGTTGCCACCGAGGGTTGGGAGGGTTGGCCGAGGCGTCCGCCGCTGGCCGCGCGGGGGTGGGGGGCGCTTCGGAGGCAGGGCGGGTCCCTCGCCGCGCGGCGGGGTCAACTCCGTGAGGCCTTTCAGATGGGGTCAGGCGGGGGCCTCTCTTCCTCCTCCTCTCTCTCCTCCTTCTCCTGCTCCTGCTCCTGCGCCTGCTCGTCCTCCTCTTCCTCCTTTTCCTCCTCCTCCTCTTCCTCCTCCTCCTCCGTCTCCTCATCCTCCTCCTCCTCCTCCCCCGTCTCCTTCTCCGCCTCCCTCCTCATCCTCCTCCGTGTCTTCTGGGCTTCCCAGATGGGGTCAGGGTAGATGGGGTCGGGGGATCGCGCTGCATCGCCGAGGCATCGGCGGTGCGGCCCGATGTGGAGCCCGATGTTCTCCACGCCGACTTCGCCGATGCACCGCCAACGTCGCCGAGGCATCGCCGACGCAGCGATGCGGAGCGATCCTCCAACTCCATCTACTCGGACCCCATCCAGGAGGCCTCTAGCTTAGAGGCAGCGCGGGTCCGTCGCCACGCGGTAGGGCCCATGCCGGTCCGACCCGAGTCAGGGGAGGAAGGAGACGGAGGACAGGATGCAGCACGACCGGCATTGGCGTGACGGGGAACGGAGAGCGGGGCCGGACCGAGAGCAGCTGTTGCCCATTTGGATCGGGATTTGTGGTCGGCGACGCAGCGACGAAAGGTCCGTCTGAGACGGAAGGTCGCCTGCCCAACAGCCGCCGCTGTCGGATTCGGACAGCATTTTGCTGTTGGGCACCGTACCCATGTCTTCGGTACCTTTGTCTTTCGGGCGCGCCAGAGGATGGGGGGGCGGTGGAAGGGTTGGAGGAGGGGGGCGGGCAGGGGGAAGGATGACGAGGAGCAGCATGCCCCTTTTCCTCCTCCTCCTCCTCCTCCTCCTCCTCCTCCTCCTCCTCTTCCTCCACTTTCCCTCCTCCTCCCTCCTCCTCTCCTCCTCCTCTCCTCCTTCCTTACTCATCCTGCCCTACTCACTGCCTCCTCCCCCTCCCCCTCCCCCTCCTCCTAAGCCTCCCTCCTCCTCCTCCTTCCTCCGCCTCCCTCCCGCCTCCTTGAAGTTCATCACATCTCATCTGACATCTCCCTTCCTTCGGCGTCCTCCTCCTCTTCATTTTCCATCTCCTCCTCTGTTTCTTCCGCCCCTCGTACTCATCTTCAGCAACATTGCGATTTAAGTACCACCCTATCCTCCCCCGCACGTCCCTCGGCTCTCCTCCGCTCTGCTCCCCCGCTCTCCTCCTCTCTGCCCCTCCTCCCAGGGTCCATCTTGGTCCGCTCGAGCCGATTCGATATTGACTCGGTATCGCTCGGACGTGTGCACTTTCTCTCGGCGGGGATTATTCAGGAGCATCCTGGATCATTCTGTGAGAGAAAAACCACGCACGAAGCAGAAAAAAACACAGGGAATGGACGTCCGAGCGATGGCCAGTTGATGCGGGCCAGCCGGATCCGATTCGATTCTGGTGTTCCGACGATCCGATGCGGCCCGAAGCTTGCATGGCCGGTCGGCACGACGATCCTGCTATTCCAACGACCCCATGCGGCCCGATGTCCGCACGATGCGGTTGTGCGCCGCAGCCGGTCCAATGCGTTTTGAGACATGTGCCGATGCAGATGGGTCCGACGCAGGCTCCAATTCGATCCGATTGCCGGCTCGGTGCTGACCGAGCGTGCGAACGGGGTGGGTCCTGAAGGGAACGGGGCTCGTCGTTTCGGCGGCGAGCCCGGGGGGGACAAGGAGAAGGCGCGGCCCTTCTCAGAAGGTTCGGACGTCCCCCAGTCTTTGAAAAATTTTCGAAGCCCTCCCCGACGACACAAAACGCTCCTCAGAAGGCTGGCGGGCTTCTGAGAAGCCTCGCCGCCTCTTCGTTCGGCCTTCAAGGGCCAGCAGCCTCGCCCTCGCTCAGCCTTCTCCTCCTCGTCCGCGCTTTCCTCGTCCTCGCTCGTCCTCCCAGTCCTCTGGGCCCTCCCCTCCTCGCTCCGGGTCCACGCAAACGGTGTCCGCCAGAGCGCCGGATCTTGCAAGATCTTGCAGGGCCAGGGCTGCATTGACCCGTCCTCCTCGTCCTCGCTCGGCGCTGAAGGGAAGGGGGTCAATGCAGACGGGGGTCGGCCAGAGCGCCGGATCTTGCGGGATCATGCAGAGCCAGGGCTGCATTCACCAGGGGCCCTCTCCTCGTGCCCGCTCGGAGCTGCAGGGACACAACCTTCTCTCGTGAGCCCTGCTTGCTCACGCCATGAGGAGGTCTTCGGGAGGGGGAGCGGCCCTCTTCGGGTTGGCCTCGGTTGTCCGGCTCTGCAGCCGGGGGATGCTCCGAGCTGCACGGATGAGGCCGACCTTCGTCAGGGCCTGGCCGGCTTCGAGTGCGAACGGATGGGGAGCCATGCAAGCGGGGGTCAGCCAGAGCGCTGGATCTTGAAGGATCCTGCAGAGCCAGGGCTGCATTGGCCCGGGCTTGCGCGCAGGATGCTGCAGGATTCGCCAGGATCTTGCAAGGCACGACTGGCCCTGGTTTGGACTGATCTGGTTCAGTAGATCCCCGAGTCGCCCTTCTGGCTTCATATGAGCCAGAAAGAGAAAACGATGTCGTCTGCGCCGACATTGGCGCGTAAGCTGGCCGCGAAAGGTCGCGCGTAAGCGCCCTCGTCTCCAATGTAGCGTGCCGCGCTGGCGGCCCGCGTGAGCAGCGGCGTAGAGTCGCCATTTCTTGTCATTGCTCCCATTTCTGCACCACTCGTGAAAGAACAGCTGGGGGCGTTCGACACTCATTCAGGGGCAGCGTACGGGGGAGGATAGGCACCAGGGGAATGCATCGGCCCCCAATCTTCCAGTCATCGCTGAGAGGGGCCCGATAGCCCACCCCCTCCCTGGAGCATGCGCATCCGCCATCGGGGGCCTATCGGCTATCTATCGGCGATGCATCGCCGACTCCAGGTCGATGTCCCCCCCCCCTACTCCGGATCCCTTGATAATCGACCCCCCTTACAAACGGGACACCCCCCTCTTGCGCGCCTTAATTTTCTGGACCCTCTCTCCGCAGGGAGCGCCTTGATGTTCCGGACCCTCCCCCCAAAGATAACAAACAATATTGCGAGCGCGATCGTCCATGACGGCAGCCACAACGGTGATCATGGTGGAAATAAAGTAGACGGCGTTGCGACCGTGGAGGTTGGACCACATTGTTGAGCAACGTGATGGGCATAAGGGCTATACATGCCACCCCGCAGCTTGTGCGAGGCGTGAAGATCCCCAAGGGACGATAACGGCCCGACTCCAACACAACAGGCCAGAAAGGGTTCTGGCGCGTGGAACAGCATGGGAAAACATCGACAATGTTGATGTGCATGATGATGATTACGATGATGTGGATGTTGATGATGATAATGATGCTGATGATGATGATGAAGATGATGGTGGTGGTGGTGACGATGATGCTGATCATTGATGATGCTGATGATGTAAATGCTGATGCTGATGATGATGAGACTGATGCTGATGCTGCTGATGATGAAATACAACCCTCAGGAGTTAGGGTGATGGTTGGATCTCTTGGGAGCGCCGCCGTTCGGTTCCGTAGGTGTGCGGCTCAAGCGGAATTTGCTGTTGCTTCGTTTCGCCCACACAGCGAAGGGCCTGGGGGGATGTTTTGAGCATCGACGGGGCTGCGTCGCCCCCAGGCCTCTGGCTCGCCCTCAGAGTTTTTCAGGTTACGAGCCAGAGAGGCCGCACACCTTTCACGTTCACAGCTGCCCTCATTGTGGGGCAGTGCTTCCGACATCGGTGACCCATCTCGTCGGGTCGGACGGTGGCCCGATCTTCGGGGTCGTGCGGCGACAGCTGTCGGACAGTGATGAAGGTACAGCGAATGGAGACGAGTACTTCGGAGCAGTCGAAGAATATCTAGCTTGGTGGTTGGGCGCTGAGCCGGAGCAGGGCGACAAGTTCGGCCTGCACGTGTGCGAGGACCTGCTCTCAGCTTGCGGGGACAGTCCACCGTGGCCCGACATGCAGGTCCTGCACGCGGCAGTCCTTCGCATGTTGATGACGTCGCAGGCGGACGACTACCACATGGAGATGTTGCAGGATAGCGAGGAGTGTTCGAGCTGTGGCTCGAGCTGCTCTCGCTCAGGCTGCTGCACCTGCGGTAGACAAGCCTGCTGCGGGAGAAGGAGGCCTCCTGCCTGCCCCGCGCGGTCGGCCCGTGGCGACCAGTGGAGAGTCCGCTTTCGTGAAGGTTGAACCAGACGGCGAGGACGTTGACGAGGCTTTTGAGGAGCTGGAGCGTGAGTTGCAGGCGCTGGAGGGCAGGGCCGAGACGTGCGACCCGGGGGCGAAGGACGGTTTCCGCTCGCGCCTGGGCGTGCTGGAGGCGCGGCTCGAGGACTCCAGGGAGCGCAGGCCCCCTGGGGCCGCGGTCGCCAGCGCCGCCGCTGAGCCGACCAACGCGGCTGCTGGCAGGAAGAAGCTGCAGCAGGGCGAGCTGATTCAGAGTCGTATCGCGGGTGCAGATCCGCGTCAGGCTGCGGAGGATTGGCTCAGCTGGACCTGCTGTTGCCTCCTCAGGCGGGGGGACGGTCTTGCGCGTGTTGGTGGACTGCTGTCGCAAGAAGGACCGAATGCCCCCCCGAGAGAGCGACGAAGAGCAGGTCATCGGAGACAAGCCCATCGCTGCTCGCCGCCTCGCATACAAGGGGATCACGCGGAAGA